TTCAATTATCTTTGTTTTTATTTTTTTTTATTATCTCCTAAAAATGTAGCATAAATCAAGGGAAGTCATCTTCATTAGAATTCATTCATTGCATTCAATTAATAGCTATTTTAAAGTACTTGCTATGTGTCAAACATTGTTTTGAGGCACTGGGGATTCTGCAGTGAAGAAAATAAAGTTCTTATCTGGTTGAAGAACAAATGTTATCTCTATCATATAATGATGAAGTGTTATGAATAAAATAATATTTATTAGTATGCTATATTATGTAGATAATATAAAATAAAAGTTATAAATTTCTTAGTTTCGCAAAGAATATAAAAAGTACCTCTTTTATTTACTCTAAGACATATCATTTTTCTTACTTTTTAAACTAAGGAAATTGAAATTGTTTTATTACTTACCCCAATATTAAACATTCCTGTAAAATACTCCATATTTGCTTGAATAAACCAAATGTTGCTTAGACCTAGTTCATCACTTCTCTTCTTAGCACGGATTAATGATAATTCCTTGTTTTCTATTAATGTAACCTAGATTTCACCCAGGAAACAAAGTATATTTAGAAACATAATTCAGACATCAGGGCAAAGTATTATTACTGAATTTCATAGTCTTAATAATCTATACAAATAATAGAGAAATATGCAAATTATCTGTTACGTCGTAACATCACAACCAGATCAGCAGGCTACATCTTCACCCTCTGCTCAGGCAGCTGCAAGGCCCGGGGTAGGATAGGATACCATAGGAGGGGATAAGAAAGGAGAGGGAGAGGAAGGCAGGCCTGTATGCGGACAGGCCGAGAGGAGAAACAGAAATACAGAAAGGGAACAAGACAAAGATGCAGGAATGGAAAAGGGAAGAAAACTGCAGGGCTGCACGTGGGAGAGGGTGGCGACTGCGGGGAAGGGGGGGGAGCAGGTGTGCTCAGTGAGGGGTAGGGCGGGAGCCCCACCCAGATGTGGGAGGACGGTGGCCCCCGGTACAGGCCGATGGCGGGGAGGCGCCCACGGGTCTGGGACAGAGTGGTGGGTGGTCCAAGACCTTCTGGGTGGAGGCGCTCCTGCTTCACAGTAGCAGCAGTGCCCGTGCCACGCGGGCTTCGGCCACCCTCACTGGGCTGGGCATCCCGGGCAGGAAATGGGAGCAGGACGGAGGCAGGGAGGCCGGGGAAGGGGGGGGGGCAGCAAACACCTGGCCAAAGCTGAGCCCTGGGCTGGGGGTTAATGCCCCCCCCAATGGAAACTTTAAGAAGGGAAGGAGGGAAGGAAGAACTTTATAAAGGAGTCAGTAAGAGCAGAGTTAAAGAAGGAAAGAGGATGTATGAGTGGACTGTAGGAGCTATAATGAAAATCAAGTATAGTTGTGTACTGGGGACAGATTTTAAAAGTAAGAGTCAGAAAAGAAAAAAGATAAATGATAGTGAATAATTAGGCAGGTAGATAGATAGATAGGTAGATATTAAAACAGTGAAAGTAAGTAGAGAAGAATGTATGGGAAAGGTAGGCTGAGAGAGAAAGAGGGAGGGAAGAAAAGTTTTAAAGGGGACCCAGTAGAGCTTAAAAGGAGAATGGGAAGAAGGAAGAAATGGGGAGGGAGCAAAGCAGGTCTGAGGGAGGAAGTGAAGAAAAAATTAAGGTGGGAAGGAAGGGAAAGGGGAGGGAGAGGAGGGGGTAATGATAAAGGAAAGAAGGAATGTGGGGAGGGAGGCAGGGTAGGAGAAAGATGGGAAGAAGGATGATGAACAGAA